ATTTTCTGATACTTTATAATTATGTGTTACTCTAGTTATTATAAATTATAACTTCCTTAGTAATTATGGAATCGTTCCCGTTTTTCCTTTCCCTTTGTGTGGATTTTAGCATATTCTGTGTTTCAAGGCATTCACACAGTTCATTTATCTTATATAATTTTTGGTCACAGAGTCGTTCATACTATTCCTTTACAGTTATCTTGTCCATGGAGTCATGGTGGCACCGTTTCATTAACCAACTCATTAACTTGCACCGTTTTTCTTGGTTGGTGCTGAGAAGAGGTTCACGAATTTTGTGGATATGTTCAAAGAACCAGATGTTAGTTTTGTCAACGTTTTTCTGTGATTGAGCTTTTTTCAGTCCCGTCGACTTGTGCTTGTATCTCTCCATGATTGATTTGATTTTCCTCACCTTGCTTTAAGTGTTTAAGTTGCTGTTTTTCCTCTGATCTCCTGGGATCAGATCAGCTCATGGATCTTGGTGGTTCTTTTCTAAAATATGCATCCATTACTGTAAATGGGCAGGATACAGTTTCCATTTAGTTTGAATGATTTTTTATTTGAGATTTATAAATGTGTCATTTTGAGGTTGGTTGATTGTTCTTCTCGCAAGTATTTGGGATTTTCCAGCCTTTTCTTTTTTTTAACAGGCAGAGTGGACAGTGAGAGAGACAGAGAGAAAAGTCTTCCTTTGCCTTTGGTTAACCCTGCAATGGCCACCGTGGCTGGCACACCACGCTGATCTGAAGGCAGGAGCCAGGTGCTTCTCCTGGTCTCCCATGGGGTGCAGGGCCCAAGCACTTGGGCCATCCTCCACTGCACTCCCGGGCCAATAGCAGAGAGCTGGCCTGGAAGAGGGGCAACCTGGACAGAATCTGGTGCCCTGACCAGGACTAGTGTGACCGGTGTGCCAGCGCTGCAGGCAGAGGATTAGCCTATTGACCCGCGGCGCCGGCTGGATTTTCCAGCCTTTTCATACTGACCTCTCAGTAGAGAGGTTGCATTGTGATCTGAGACCTTACATTGTGTGGTGACTCTTCCTTAGGAGTTGAGGTCTGTTGTACAGCAGCGAACGTGGTCAGAGTGGATGTGCTGTGTGGGTCTGAGAAGAGTGTCGTGTTGCGTTGTTGTGGACAGAGCATCCTCGAAGGATCCGTTCAACACTTGGTTGATTCAGGTGCTGTTCTGTTCAGCTACATCCTTACTGATGGTCTGACTGCTGATCTGATAACGAAAGAGATGTCTTGGCATCTGTGAGTGTAATAGTGCCTTTGTTTATTTCTCTTTGTAGTTTTAACAATGGTCGCTTATGTATTTTGGGATGAGGTTTACTTTTGGATTCACTATCCTACTCCATTGAAACGTGTTTCTTCTGTTCTTTCAGGAATCCCAAAGCAAGGTCTTGGTTATTGTAGGTTTATTGAAAGTCTGCAAAGACAGTTGTCATTTCACAGAGTTCCTTGTTTTTCATGGTGGAGTTGATAGTCAATTGTCTTGAGTTTTCCTAACTACATTCAGGTTTGTTTTTTTTTTTCTCAAAACCTCTTGCTGGAGGTTTTTTTGGTTGTTTGTTTTTTGTTTTGTTTTGTTTTTTCATTTAGATGGTGTTAAACCTAGAACCATTTTAGAAGAAATGTTATATTAATAATATTCAGTCTTCCAGTCCTATGCACAGCGTATTTACTTAGATCTTCTTTAGTTTCCTTCATCAGCATCTTAGTCTTCAGCCAACATACTGTGTATTTTATTGATAGGGTTTACGAGTTTTCATTTCAGTAGGCTATTTTAAATTTCAAATCAGTGTCTACCTGTTGATGATGGTAGCATACAATTGATTTTTTTAACTTTTATTTAGTAAATATAAATTTCCAAAGTACAGTTTATGGATTACAGTGGCTTTGCCCCCATAACTTCCCTCCCACCCACAACCCTCCCTTCTCCCGCTCCCTCTCCCATTCCATTCATATTAAGATTAATTTTCAATTATCTTCATATACAGAAGATCAATTTAGTATATACTAAGTAAAGATTTCATCAGTTTGCACCCACACAGAAACACAAAGTGTAAAATACTGTTTGAGTACTTGTTATAGCATTAATTCACACTGAACAACACATTAAGGACAGAGATCCTACATGAGGAGTAAGTGCACAGTGACTCCTGTTGTTGACTTAACAATTTGACACTCTTGTTTATGGCGTCAGTAATCTCCCTAGGCTCTAGTCATGAGTTGCCAAGGCTCTGGAAGCCTTTTGAGTTTGCCGACTTCGATCTCATTCCGACAGGGTCATAGTCAAAGTGGAAGTTTTCTCCTCCCTTCAGTGAAAGGTACGTCCTTCTTTGATGGCTCCGTTCTTTCCACTGGGGTCTCACTTGCAGAGATCTTTCATTTAGGTCTTCTTTTTTTTTTCCAGAGTGTCTTGGCTTTCCATGCCTAAAATACTCTCATGGGCTCTTCAGCCAGATCCAAATGTCTTAAGGGCTAATTCTGAGGCCAGAGTGCTGTTTAGGACATCTGCCATTCTATGAGTCTGCTGTGTATGCTGCTTCCCATGATGGATCGTTCTCTCCCTTTTTGATTCTATCAGTTAGTATTAGCAGACACTAGTCTTGTTTATGTGATCCCTTTGAATCTTAGACCTATCATTATGATCTATTGTGACCTGAAATTGTTCACTTGGACTAGTGAGATGGCGTTGGTACATGCCACCTTGATGGGATTGTATTAGAATGCCCTGGCACATTTCTAACTCTACCATTTGGGGCAAGTCAGCTTGAGCATGTCCCAAATTGTACATCTCCTCCCTCTCTTATTCCCACTCTTATATTTAACAGAGATCACTTTTCAGTTAACGTTAAACACCTAAGAATAATTGTGTGTTAATTACAGAGTTCAACCAATAGTATTAAGTAGAACAAAAAAATGCTGAAAGGGATAAAGTATTAAATTGTACATCAACAGTCCGGACAAGGGGTGATCAAGTCACTGTTTCTCATAGTGTACATTTCAATTAACTAGGTTTCCTTTTTGGTGATCTGTTAGTTGTCACCGATCAGGGAGAACATATGATATTTGTCCCTTTGGGACTTGGCTTGATTCACTCAGCATGATGTGTTCCAGATTCCTCCATTTTGTTGCAAATGACCGGATTTCATTGTTTTTGACTGCTGTATAGTATTCTATAGAGTACATGTCATATAATTTCTTTACCCGGTCTACTGTTGATGGGCATTTGGGTGGATTCCAGGTCCTAGCTATTGTGAATTGAGCTGCAGTAAACATTAAGGTGCAGACAACTTTTTTGTTCACCAATTCAATTTCCTTTGGGTAAATTCCAAGGAGTGGGCTGGCTGGGTTGTATGGTAGGGTTATATTCAGGTTTATGAGGAATCTCCAGACTGACTTCCAGAGTGGCTTGACCAGTTCGCATTCCCACCAACAGTGGGTTAGTGTCCCTTTTCCCCCGCATCCTCACCAGCATCTGTTGTTGGTGGATTTCTGAATGAGAGCCATTCTAACCGGAGTGAGGTGAAACCTCATTGTGGTTTTGATTTGCATTTCCCTGATTGCTAGTGATCTTGAACATTTTTTCATGTGCCTGTTGGCCATTTGGATTTCTTCTTTTGAAAAATATCTATTAAGGCCGGCGCAGCGGGTCACTAGACTAATCCTCCGCCTAGCGGCACTGGCACACCAGGTTCTAGTCCCAGTCGGGGTGCAGGATTCTGTCCCGGTTGCCCCTCTTCCAGGCCAGCTCTCTGCTGTGGCCCAGGAAGGCAGTGGAGGATGGCCCAGGTGCTTGGGCCCTGCACCTCATGGGAGACCAGGGGAAGCACCTGGTTCCTGCCTTCGGATCAGCGCAGTGCGCTGGCTGCAGCGCGCCAGCCTGTGGCGGCCATTGGAGGGTGAACCAACGGCAAAAGGAAGACCTTTCTGTCTGTCTCTCTCTCTCACTATCCACTCTGCCTGTGGAAAAAAAAAAGAAAAATATCTATTGAGGTCCTTGGCCCATCTCTTATGTGGGTTGGTTGTTTTGTTGTCGTGAAGTTTTTTGATCTCTTTGTAGATTCTGGTTATTTACCCTTTATCTGTTGCACAGTTTGCAAATATTTTTTCCCATTCTGTCGGCTGCCTCTTCAACTTTCCTGTTTCCTTTGCAGTACAGAAACTTCTCAGTTTGATGCATCCCGAATGTTAACTTTGATTTTGACTGGCTGTGCTTCTGGGGTCTTTTCCAAGAAGTCTTTGCCGGTGCCAATATCTTGCAGGGTTTCTCCAATGTTCTCTAATAATTTGATGGTGTCGGGTCGTAGATTTAGGTCTTTAATCCATGTTGAGTGGATTTTGTGTGTGGTGAAAGGTGGGGTCTTGCTTCATGCTTCTGAACATGGAAATCCAATTTTCTAGCACCATTTATTGAATAGACTGTCCTTACTCCAGGGATTGGTTTTGGATCCTTGATCAAATATAAGCTGGCTGTAGATGTTTGGATTGATTTCTGGTGTTTTCATTCTGTTCCATTGGTCTATCATCTGTTTCTCTTTTTTTTGTATATATTTTATTTTATTTAATGAACATAAATTTCCAAAGTACAGCTTATGGACTACAATAGCTTCCCCCCTGCCATAATTTCCCTCTCACCCACAGCACTCCCCTCTCCCACTCCCTCTCCCCTTCCATTCACATCAAGATTCATTTTCAATTATTTTTATATACAGAAGATCAATTTAGCATATATTAAGTAAAGATTTCAACAGTTTGCACCCACACAGAAACACAAAGTGTAAAATACTATTTGAGTACCAGTTATAGCATTAATTAAACACCTAGGAGTAATTGTGTATTAATTACAGAGTTCAACCAATAGTTTTAAGTAGAACATAAAAAATACTAAAAGTGTAAAGTATTAAGTTCTTTTTTTTCTTTTTCTTTTTTTGTTTGTTATATAGTTATTTTTTTATTTAATAAATGTGAATTTATAAAGTGCAACTTTTATATTGTTGTGGCTTCCCCCCCCAACCTCCCTCCCTCCCGTGGCCCTCCCCTCTCCCACTCCCTCTCCCATCCTGCCCTTAATCAAGTTTCATTTTCGATTACCTTCATATTCTGAAGATCAGCTTAGTATATACTAAGCAAGGATTTCACAGGCTGCACTCACACAACCGCACAAGGTATAGGATATTGTTTGACTAGTAGTGTTGTTTTTAAGTTTCATAGTAAAACACATTAAGGACAGAGATCCTACGTGGGGAGCATGTACCCAGTGACTCCCGTTGTTGATTTAACAATTGGCACTCTTATTTATGATGTCAGCAATCACCAGAGACTCTTGCTATGAGCTGTCTCGGCTATGGAAGCCCCTTGAGTTCACCGACTCTGAACTTGTTTAGTCAAGGCTGTATCACAGTGGAGGTTCCTTCCTCCCTTCAGAGAAAGGCGCCTCTCTCCTTGATGGCCTGTTTCTTCTGCTGGGGTCTTGTTCACCAGGATCTTTCATTTAGAATGTTTTTTGCCACCATGTCATGGCTTTCCATGCCTGTGAGACTCTCATGGACCTTTTAGCCAGATCCGAATGTCCCAAGGGTTGATTCTGAGGCAGGAGTGCTGCCATTCTATGAGTCTGCTGTGTGTCCTGTTTCCCCCGCAGGATCATTCTCTCCCTTTTAATTCTATCCTTCATTATTTGCTTACACTGGTCTTATTTGTGAAATCTAATTGACACATACCCTATCTTTTTGATCAGTTTTGTATTTATGCTTATCACTTTACCAAGTGCGCTGGCATTGGTACCTGCCTCCATGGTAAGATTGAGTTGAAATCCCCTGGCACATTTCTAGTTCCACCATTGGAGGTAAGTCCGAGTGAGCATGTGCCAACCTATATATCTCCTCCCTCTCTTATTCCCACTCCTATGTTTAATAGAGATCACTTTTCTGTTAATTTTAAATGCCTAAGAATGATTGTGCATTGATTACAGAGTTCAACCACTGGTCTTATGTAGAACAAACAGAGCAACAACAACAATACTAAAAGGAATAAAATAGTAAGTTGTTCCTCAACAGTCTAGACAAGGGCTGATCATGTCATTGTCTCTCGTATTGTCCATTTCACTTCAATGGGTATCATTTTAGATGCTCGTTTAGTTGCCATTGATCAGGGAGAACATATTATATTTGTCCCTTTTGGACTGGCTTATTTCACTCAGCATGATGTGTTCCAGATTCCTCCATTTTGTTGTAAATGCCTGGATTTCATTGTTTTTTTTACTGCTGTATAGTGTTCCATAGAGTACATATCCCATAGTTTCTTTATCCAGTCATCCGTTGATGGACATTTAGGTTGATTCCATGTCTTAGCTATTGTGAATTGAGCTGCAACAAATATTGAGGTGCAAATGGCTCTTTTTTTCTCCCCTTTAATTCCATTTGGGTAAATTCCAAGGAGTGGGATGGCTGGGTCCTATGGTAGTGCTATATTCAGGTTTCTGAGGATTCTCCAAACTGTCTTCCATAGTGGCTTTACCAGTTTGCATTCCCACCAATAGTGGATTAGTGTCCCTTTTTCCCCACATCCTCGCCAGCATCTGTTGTTGGTTGATTCCTGTATGTAAGCCAATCTAACCGGAGTGAGGTGAAACCTCATTGTGGTTTTGATCTGCATTTCCCTGATGGCTAGGGATCCTGAGCATTTTTTCATGTGTCTGTTGGCCACTTGGATTTCCTCTTTTGAAAAATGTCTGTTAAGGTCCTTGGCCCATTTTTATTGGGTTGTTTGTTTTGATTTTGTGGTGTTTGTTGATCATTTTATAGATTCTAGTTGTTAATCCTTTATCTGTTTTGTAGTTTGCGAATAATGTCTCCCATTCTGTTGGTTGCCTCTTCACTTTCCTGACTGTTTCCTTTGCTGTTAAGAAACTCTTCTATTTGAGGTAATCCCATTTGTTTATTTTATCTTTGATTACTCGTGCCTCTGGGGTCTGCTTCAGGAATTCTTCACCTGTTCCAATATCTTGAAGGGTTTTCCCTATGCTCTCAATTAGTTTCAGGATGTCGTGGTGCATCTCTAGTTCTTTGATCCATGTTGAGTAGATTTTTGTATAAGGTGTAAGGTAGGGGTCTTGCTTCATAGTTTGACATGTGGACATCCAGTTTTCCCAGCACCATTTGTTGAAGAGGCTGTCCTTGTTCCAGGGGTTGGTTTTAGGTCCTTTGTCTAATATGAGTTGGTTAAACTCATATTCATCTGTTTCTGTACCAGTACTATGCTGTTTTCATTACAACGGCCCTGTAGTATGTCCTGAAATCTGGTATTGTAATGCCTCTGGCTTTGTTTTTGTTGTACAAGATTGCTTTAGCTATTTGAAGTCTCCTGTATCTCCATATGAATTTCAGCATCATTTTTTCCAGATCTGAGAAGAATGTCTTCGGTATTTTGATTGGTATCGCATTGAATCTATAAATTGCTTTTGGGAGATTGGATATTTTGATGATATTGATTCTTCCAATCCATGAGCATGGAAGATTTTTCCATTTTTGGGTATCCTCTTCTATTTCTTTCTTTAAGATTTCTCATCATAGAGATCTTTATCATCCTTGCTTAAGTTTATTCCAAGGTATTTGATTGTTTTTGTAGCTATTGTGAATGGGATTGATCTTAGCAGTTCTTTCTCAGCCGTGGCATTTCCTATGTATACAAAGGCTGTTGATTTTTGTGCATTGATTTTATATCCTGCTACTTTGACAAACTCTTCTATGAGTTCCAATAGTCTCTTAGTAGAGTTCTTTGGGTCCCCTAAGTAAAGAATCATATCATTTGCAAACAGGGATAGTTTGAGTTTTTCCTTCCCGATTTGTATCCCTTTAATTTCTTTTTCTTGCTGATGGCTCTGGCTAAAACTTCCAGAACTATATTGAATAGCAGTGGTAAGAATGGGCATCCCTGTCTAGTATCAGATCTCAGTGGAAATGCTTCCAACTTTCCCCATTCAATAGGATGCTGGCCGTGGGTTTTTCATAAATTGCTTTCATTGTATTGAGGAATGTTTCTTCTATACACAGTTTGCTTAGGGTTTTCATCATGAAAGGGTGTTGTGTTTCATCAAATGCTTTCTCTACGTCTATTGAGATAATCATACGGTTTTTCTTCTGCAGTCTGTTAATGTGGTATATCACATTGATTGGTTTGCGAACATTGAACCATCCCTGTATACCATCTTCATGGTGAAGATCTTTCTGGTCATGTGTATTAGGACTTCCATGTGCTTCCTGTGCTCCACCATTCCTTTCTTCAAATTAAGCAAGTTGTCTGTAACTACTTCAGTAAAAGGGCCTTCTCGTCGACTGTCTTTCTACGCCTTCGCCTACTTGTTCTGATAATATCCCTTAGCTGAGGCCTAACAGTAAAAATATTCTTAGTGGGTGACATGCTAGGGAGAGAATGACAAGGCCCATTCAGAGCAGCTGTCACTCCTGTTGCAGTCCCTCGGCTCCAGCTCCCAAGCGCTTGGCTTGGCCAGAGGAGGATAAGGCTGCTCATGCAGTGACAGGTGCAGATAAAGTGTCCTCCCTGTTGCCACTACCACCTCGTGTCTGGCCACAGTTGAACCGTGGCCCCAAGGCTGGGAATGGCATCCAGGAGAGGAGTGATGCATACCACATTTCTGTTGGCTGCAGACCAGTGCAGTCCCTGCGTGCTGTTTCACGCCAGGAAGAGCAGGGCTCCTGCTGTGGCAGGGGCGAGAAGCTCTGGGGTGCATCCTTGCTTGGCCTAGGAGAGAAGATGAGCTGTTATGACAGCTGTGTCACCGGCATCTGGTGGCTGTGCCAGGGCTGGGTCTTGAATTGGTTTCCTCTGAGCAGTGGCTCGCACTGTCATCGCACTGCTAACACCCCCTGTGGTTCAGACTTGCAGCCCACCTTTGGCAGGATCCGTGGCCTCTGTGGTGGTCTTCATGTCCTCAGCTGCCCTGAGCATGAGCCCCCCTGGGATCTGTAGCTACTCTGGTCAGGTCTGAGTGTGGTTTGGTTGACTTTAGGGGGACAGACTTAACAGAGAGGATCTGCAGCTTGAGCTGTGAAGGGCAAGATTTAGTGAAAGGATAACTCTTCCCTGACTGAGCGTCCACCAGGACAGAAAGGCCAGAGTGTTGGCTCACGTCTTTGCTTGGGATTTCTTCCAGCCATGCAGCTTGACCTGTGTTAAGGCGGTGGGCAAGGGGAGGGTCTGGAGGGAGATACTGGCCTTGAACACGGGTGGTCCTCTTGCTGAGATACTTACCGCCAGGGAACCACAGCCGATCTTTCTTTATCTGTCACCACAGGGCCACACTGACTCATGGAAGCAAGAAGCCAGAGGCCCTTATTCATTCATTCCTACCATACCCTCCCGTGTTCCTCTGTACGCATTGCACATGTGTTCCCAAAGTGCTCCTGCTACAAGGCTCTGCCTGGATGCGGAGGCCCCCCACGTGGAGCCAAGAAGTCCTTGTAATTTGTTGTCTGTCAAGGTCACCTGATGGCATTAGTGGCTATACTAAGTGGCACCAGGTGTCCTACAATTTTCCCAGCCTGCCTCGCTGGGCTATTTAATGGTGAGAAGGAGGGAATGTAGAGGGCACAGCCCCATGGGGCAGCTCCCTGCAGACTAGGGCCACACAGGTCACGTGCAGTGAGGGTGGCCTGGCCGGGCAGGAATCCACACACCTTCATGCACTCCTGTGCCCCTCGGTACAGCATGTAAGGGTGTAGCTGAGGCGGTGGCCCCTTCATGATGGGTTCAGGAGGCACCCAGGATTAACCCTGAGCCTTCTGGTCAAGTGATGGTGACCCTAAACTCTGCAGTCAGGTGTTTTGGGACAGCAGTCTTCTGTCTGTATATGTGTATTTGTGTACTCATGTGTGCCTGTATGTAACAAACTACTTACTCACTTACTTACATCTTTAAGCGTCTTTTGCAGGGCTGGATGAGTAACGACAAATTCTTTCAATTTCTGTTTGCTATGAAAGACCTTTATTTCACCTTCATTCACAAATGGGAGCTTTGCGGGATATAATATTCTGGGCTGGCAGTTTTTCTTTCTAGTCCCTGGGCTATGTCTTGCCATTCCCTCCTAGCTGGTGGGTTTTCTGATGAGAACTCTGCTCTGAGTCTAATTGGAGATCCTCTGAGAGTAATCTGACATTTCTCTCTTGCACATTTTACAATCTTTTCTTTATGTTTTACTGTGGTGAGCTTGATTACAACGTTTGGTGGTGAGGATCTCTTTTGGTCATGTTTATTAGGGGTTCTGTGATCTTCCTGTACTAGGATGTCTCTGTCCTTTTCCAAACCGGGAAGTTTTCTGCTAGTATCTCACTAAAAAAAAAGGCCTTCTAATCCTTTTTCTCTCTCCATGCCTTCTGGAACTCCTAGAACCCGAATGTTGGTTTTTTAAATAGTATCCTGTAGATTCCTGGTAATTTTTTTTAGATTTCTAATTTCCTCTTCTTTTCTTTGGTTTGGCTGTATATCTTCCTGTGCTCTGTCTTCTAAGTTTGGTATTCTCTCTTCTGCTTCACTGATTCTGTTTTTAAGGCTCTCTAATGCGTTTGTCATTTGATCTATTGAATTCTTCATTTCATTTTGATTTCTCTTCACTATCACACTTTCCTGTTCTACTAGTTGCTTCATTTAATTTTGATTCCTCCTTAAGATTTCATTTTCACGAGATTTTCTATCCTGTCCCTTAAGGATTTCTGTAGTTCAAGAATTTGTTTTTGAGAACTTCTAAATGTTCTTATAAATTTTTTGAAATCTGTATCTTGCATTTCTGTTATCTCATCATCTTCATTATCTTGAATTGGGGTGTCTTGT